CAGCGCAATACGCGCAACTCGCGGGGCGTGAGGGACCAACAAACTCCTCAACCTCCTCACGCACCTCCGGCCTCACAGGCTCCGGCACCGCAAGCTCCTCACGTGCATCAACCTTCGCCAATTCAACAGCTCCAGCAAATTAAGAATGGTATGCAGGCTATGCTGCAGGCTTCTCGGGCTTTTCAGGCTCGTCAGGCTCTTCGAGCTCCTCAAGCTCCTCAAGCCCAGCAGCCACGGCAAGCTCCTGTTCTCCAGGCGCCCGCACAGGCTGAACAGCATGTACAGCTCCAGCAGGTTCCGCAGGATACAATGCTGCTTATGGTAAAGGACGGTGAAGACGCCGCAGCAGAGAACGGGGGGCAGGATGAACAAGACGAGCAGGACGAAGAAGACGGGCACGATGAGCAGGACATGCAGGATGGACAAGACGGGCACGATGGACCAGACGGGCACGATGAACCAGACGGGCAAGACGGACAGGAGGCTGATGCTCCGCATGAGCCAGATGATGAAAATGTACCGCCGCCGCCGCCACCCGGGGAAGACTCGAAAGAGGAGGCCCGGTCGTTGATCTGGATCGACCAGATAATCCGGGAAGACGGGACTGTCTTCCCCGAGTCGGAAGTAGACTCGATGTTCCAGCGCCCCGGACACCCCGAATACATGGTGAGCTGGATGGAGGTCGGTTCGGCAACCGTCTGCCCGGTTGTGTACTGGGTCCAGCACCCATACCCCGACTGGGACGCGGCGCCGGTCGAGGCGCTGGACCTGGAGTTCCGCCGGGTGCGGGCCTTGTATCCCCCTAACGTGACTCTCCACGGCATGATTTTCCGGGGCCGCTGGGCTCGTCTATACCGCGAGTTGAGGCCCTGGGCGGTCGGCGTCGACGCCCCAATCCGCAACACCCTGGTGGTCCAGGAGAGCATGGAGCTCAATATGAAGGAGGAGGCCGGGGTGCGGCACTTTGCTGCCTGGAGGTACTCCCTCCCTGAAAACGCCCTCCGGGAGTGGAATGACTTTTCCGTGATCTATTGATGGCTTCTACTGACTTGTGGCTCTAGACACATTCATCCTTGTGAGGCCAGAGATGTAGGCCCATTCGTTTGGTGGGACAGTTAGCTGTCATGCCTACAAGCATAGCCAAAGAAAACAAAACAAAGAAAAAAAGGTAACAATAAGGTACGACCAACCCAAAAAAAACAGATCATTTTAACACCTGCAAATAACAATATAAATCTAGGTATCGGTCTCGAACATCTCAGATTTGCATATCAACAGTCTATCTTCAGTGGTATCTTTACTAACCCTCTGAAGAAGAAGCAACACTACATAAAGGCAGGCTTACAGAACTCATCCACGGCTTCTTTTCACATCGGCAGCAAGACTACTCTTCGTTGATCTCTCTCGGGGCTAGAAGAAGATGTCATCCCGAAGTAAGCGAAGACACTCCGCCCTCATACCTTATACTCTCTATTCACAACTACGAGGCGACGCAGGTCACGACACTGTACAAGGGTAATAGGCAATAAGATAGTACAGACCGGGAAGACAAAGTACCCACACATCATCCAGCCTGCCTCCGGAACGGCTGGTTCTGTCGTTGCCGCGTGAGTATGACAATTGAGACAGCGTATTTATGTGGGATGAATCGCTGATTGAAATCAAAACAAGTATGTACACTGCCACATGATCGACTCCGGATTGTGTCCGAGAACTCTGTCCCGTTCAATACTTGAATGGTGGCCACTTAGTAAAATACGGATTCAGGCAGCAACCCCCCTTCTCCTTCTCCGGGAGGCCAATAGCAGTGCCTATTCAAGCGATTTTCCAACATATCCGGGTCCAGGGCATGAAGCCAGCAGCTCACATTGAAGATATACTCATTTTCATCGTATCAACGATTCAAAATGAAGCACCTCCGACTTCCGGGTCATATGGATGGTGTATGCATGGACTTATCTGACTGGTCCTTGAAGCGCCACCTCCTGAGGCAGCGGGCCGAACCGACGCCTTCCAAGATACCAGCCCCCCACCTGTCAAAATGGAACCCCTCATGAGCTGAGTACGTACAGTACAAAGATAAGCACCTTACAATCCCCCGATTCATTCATCATACACCCCAGTCACCCTCCACCACAAAGACTCCAAGACTCAAACCTACCCCCTCAAACCCCCACCCCAACAAAAACAATGCCCCTCCCAGAGACCACGGAGACCACCCAAGCCCCGCACCACAAACACTACATGACTCTCGCCCTAACCCAAGCGCGCCGCTCCCCGCCGGCGCCCACCAAATTCTGCGTCGGCGCCGTCCTCGTCGACGCCGACACGCACACCGTGCTCGCGACCGGCTACTCGATGGAGCTCCCCGGCGACCGGCCGGGCGACCCGGGCAACACGCACGCCGAGCACTGCTGCCTCATCAAGGTCGCGGCGCGCCACGGCCTCCCCGAGGACCGCATCGCGGAGGTCCTCCCGCCCAACACGGTGCTGTACACGACGATGGAGCCGTGCAACCGGCGGCTGAGCGGGGCTCGCACCTGCTGCGATCGGATCGTGGGGCTTGGGAATGCGATCAAGGTGGTGTATGTGGGGATCCGGGAGCCGGAGACGTTTATCTCGGAAAATACGGGGAGGGGGCGGTTGGAGGCGGCCGGAGTACGTTTCGTGGTGGTGGAGGGGATGGAGGAGGAGGTTTTGGGAGTGGCGATGGCGGGGCATTAGGTTCTTTGGCGTCTAGAGGGGGAGGAGGATGGGCGTGAGTTTGTGGGTCACTATATAATTCCGGACGGTGGTATGTATGTATATTTGGTGGTATGGATATGTGCACTTGTGGATTCTTGTCCTTCGGTTTATGCAGTTGTTGGGAGAGATGATTCAACATCTTCAGTATCCAAATCATCCTATACCTAGAGAGGATAGTAGAGATGTCGAGATCCATAGAAAAACATTCCCCAAGAATCCACAATGAACGAAACCAGACAACACCTCAAAACCCCCCTACCCCCCCCCAAAAAAACCAAAAAAGAAATACCTGCTCACACTCGGACTCGAACCGAGGATCTCAGCATTACTAGTGCTGCGCTTTACCATCTAAGCCATGCGAGCTATTATTGACGTCATGCCTCATTCTACCGGCTATAACCAACCCTCAACCACCAAAATCCAACCACCAGCCAAAGCTCCACCAAACCACCACCATCCCCATGCCCACAGCACATTTCCTCCCAAGAATCCATCACCCCAAACCTCAAATCCCATCAAATTCACCCCATCAATAGCGTTCCCGGTACTTTACGTATTGGCACCAAAAAGCCCCACAGGTGGGGCCGCAACCCCGCAAAAATGGCCAACGACGGTAAGAAAAGTGGGGCCATATTTTAGTGTCGAGGGCTACGGTACAACAAACGGCCGCGGTGGTGTAGTGGTATTAACATTGCAGAGCCCCCGTACTAGCCTTATGCTAGCGGTGTGGAGTGCAGATTCTGGGTTCGAGTCCCAGTCGCGGCATTCTCTCTTTTTCTTTTTGCATTTCATGAAGAGGTGGGCGTCATCAGGGCGTCATACCGTTGGGGAGTGGTGATGGTGGCAGGGGGAAGGGTTGGGAGGCGTCGTTTGGGGGCATATGTCCGTTGTGGTGGAGGCTGTGCGATATAATGCTTTCGAGGACTGAGATATATGGCAAATGCGGAATTTGGATGATATACGATGGGCAAGGAATACGTGGTGCTGAGGAACAGCTACAGCAGCTCTTGGGTGAGAATCATATAGAAGAATGGCATACAAATTCGACATATTTGTCTTTTCATTTACGAGATTCCCCTTATTTCCCTTGGTTTTTCTAGCGTCTCTCCGCTCAGCTTGTATTTGCGGACTTGATTACTGGTTGATTTTGCCCTGCACGAATTTCAGAACATCATTTCATGAAGTGCTATCAGTTCAAGAGCGCATGCTACACGGGTACACTGCCTTTAAGCTATGAATGTATCGTTCTCTTTGTTTTTGTTTTCTTTTTCTATTTTCTTGATTCTGCCAAAGCCTTAATATCTGATGATTTTTTCACATGTTTTTTGCTTCTTAAATGCTGTTAATCTCGAATATCGCCGAAGTTAGCCTCCAATGAATAATTGAAGTTGCCAATCGCACCGCCGTCTCCTTCCTCTTTTCGGTTCTTCTGTTCGAGTTGCTGCTGCTGCTGCTGCTGCTGCTCCTTCCTTAGTACTTCCGCCCTCATCCTTTCCCTGCGCCAGCAGGATCCTCCCAGCCCACCGGTTTCGCTTTCCCCTTCGCCTTCACGCCTTGCTGCTATTGTATTACTATCAGTTAAGATGTTCAGTTCCAGAGATACTCTCTCATGCAGTGACAGTCAACCCTGACAGTGCATATCCTTCCACTCTTCCACCTCTCGAACCTCCACCCTGAGCATCCGATCAAGATACGCATCCGCCTCTGCAGCGTAGAAGCACCGCGCCCGAATCAACGCCCCATACCTATACAACACAAACGGGATTGGAACACACGCCAAAGCCAAGAACGCCGGCACCGACGCCGCCCACTGCGGTCCCAAGCCTTGATACATCTGATCCGTAAACAAAGGGAATGCAGCTGCAAAGACAGAGTTCATGAGGGTGCATGCAGCCATGACGGACGCTGCATAAATCGTATACGAGTCGACCAGATAATTGTAGCAGGGCAGAAAGATCATCAACAAGCCGTACCCAACCGGGACACTCCCCAGAACGGGAACGATCCAGGGAATGCTCACAGGAGCTATTGTCCACGCGAACCAAAACAAACCCACTGGGAGGGCAATGCTGGCGGGGAAAGCGTCTAGCAGACGCACTTCTGGTGGTAAGCGGGCTGTGTCCCGGTAGCGAGTCCGGGACATCTTCTTGACATATTCCGTGTGGGAGACAAGGACGTGGGGGATTGCACACAGAACCCCAGCCAGCATCCCGATGAAGGTCAACCCGGTATCCAGTGAGTTCCAGCTCCGGATCTGCTGGAATACGATTGGGTAGGCGGCGAAAGACATGTACGTGATCCCATTGAGAATGGAGCTGTAGACAGAGAGAAGCAGGACGATCGGCTCGCGGAAGAGAAGCACCCACGGCCGGAGAAGAAGCGTGCGCAGCTCGTTCCCGACAATGTGGTCACGGCTGTGTCCGATGTCCATTACACTGCGGTAGACGCGGGCTGTGGTTTTCGTCAACTGCCTGGCGCGACTGGCCAGCAGCACGGGCGCATATGTCTCCGGCAGCAGCCAGAACAGGGCCAGAGTGACTGTACCCGCGAGTATAGCCATGGCCCCCTGGATCCAACGCCAACCACCCACAACCTCGACCGCGGCACCGATAACCGGACCTAGCACGGCAAGGAAGGGAACTGCCGCGTAGAGCCCCATGGGTGCCCCTCGGGCCTTGGCTGAAAACAAATCGGCTATCACGCCCCCGGAGACAGCCACGGGCGCGGACCCCAGGCTGCCCGCGAGAAAAAGGAGAATGATCACCGTCGCGATATTGGGAGATGCTGCAGCGCCCGCGCTGAATGCCGTCAGAAACACGCCGCTCGCCAGCATGATCATCCGACGTCCGTAGGCCTCACTCAGCGCACCCAAAAGCAACGGGCCCAGCGCAAACCCGAGGACGAAGAACGAGGATCCCAGGAGTGCGACCTCTGCGGAGACGTGGAATTCGTCGATGATGTCGGCTAGTCCGGCGGAGTACGCCGAGGAGCACAACGCCACGATCAGGCTCGCCAGGGTGGAAAGCACGGCGATAGCCCATTTCGTGGTGTCGCGGAAGGCCATCGGGTCGCGGGGGTCGTCAGCCAGCCAGGTGACGATGTATGGGTGAGCATCGGTGCCAGAGCCTTCGTAACGGTGGTCCAGGATGTCGTGGGTGATGAAGCCATCGTCGAAGATCAGGCGGAGGAATGGGACTTCCCTATTCAGGACAGCGTACTCTCCGGGAGGCGCCATCTACACAGAGGTATATCATTGATACTACTAACAATCGTTGTCAACTATGAATATACCCAGGGAGTGATCGGATATACTCACTATGATTCAATTCCAACATAGGTCCCAGTATCTTCGAGCATGGTAATCAACGAACCTCATTTCCGTGTCGGTAAACAGCAATATAAAGCCCCATCTCCACGATCGGCTTCACAGCTGTCGTCATCAAAAGATCGACTTGAAAGAGAATACAGATTGAACAATGGGGCAAGTACATTAGCAAAACCTAATCCTTAAATCTGCCGAGCTTACAGCAAAATCGCTATCTCGTGATACCTTCAGTGCTCTGGTATGTCCACAGCAACGTAGCCAGTAACCGCTCCCTCTATAGGCAGTGAAGACTTATCGATTCACTGCTCGCGCCCAGCGGTACGATAAGCTTTTATAGCAGATCTTCTTTCATTACCCTTGACCCACTGTAGGACTAGGAAAAGCCGGTGGCACGACGCACGGCTGATCTCCAATGCATACTGTACTCTTTGGGCAACTCATCCATATGACCTGTTATCTCATGTCAGGCTAAATTCCCCGACTGGCCTGATAAAGGCCTTGGCGTTTGCAACACAAGCTCTCGATTCTCTGTCAATAGAATGCGCCTGGCCTCCGGATCCAAGGTTGTGATACTGACCTGTCTGTCCTACGGCCGGCGCATGATGCGGCAAAAGTCCAACCGCTTCTCCAAGCCAGGGTTGTTGCAGTGCATTTACCCAACATGGCAAAAGATAGAGACTGGGAAGGAGCGATCAATGATGCACCGTGCAGGCAGATCTATCTACGAACCGTGGCAATGGATCTCACAATTCCCCGACACCGACCGGTGGGAGGATTGGCGGATAGCCGAACGTTCAACTACTGCAAATTGGCTATATGTAGTTTTTGACTACGCGAAAATGATTTCAGAGAGACGCTCGCTACTTTGAACTATATAGTAGATAGACCTTTGACCACGACTTCGAGGAATAACGAAACTGGTTGTCTTCAGAATTAAGAATGCCATCTAGTCTTGAAAGAAAGCTTATATTAACAATCCAGTAGAACCCCAGAGCACAATATCTATGAAGCTGCATATAAACAGCAGGAAACTATGAGCTCTGTGCCCATGGAAGGTACACCGCATGACATTCGCATCTGCAACGACAGTTCAATACTGTCGAAGAAGCAACCGGGGTAGATAACCCAACCTCCAATCACACAAGCTGGAAAAGAATCTCACCTGGCGGATCCAGCAAGAGCTTACGATGATCTGCGAGAGTATGCTTGACCAACTTTATCTTTCCCCTCTCCATGCCCCGAGTCCAAGCATAGGACAGGCAGTCCTCAACAGCAGTCTGCTGTATGAACATATTACAAGACGCAACAACAAGTGACCTAGTAAATACCTGACCAAAGCAAGATATTCATCCCTTACTACAGCACAACACAACACAAGTAATGTGTTGACCACACACCTGGGAAGATCCCTGGCCGGTTTCCCTACATACTTGTTATGTAGACAGGTTAGTCCTTGTTTTATTCTCCGGTCGGGCCAAGTATATGCTAACTTGCCATGTAAATGTCAAGCTTTGTTGTCACATCAGCTCATTCCACTTTGTCTTTTCTTATTAATACAAGTTTACTTTGCCGCTTGGATGAGCTTGGGGTCGCATCAATTGACTTCCATCTATTCCTCTTGACCAGTACTAGTAGCTCAACATCATTCTCGGCTATGGCAAGAGAGAACGCCCACGTGGGGTATGATATTTGCTGAACTAATTGACGTCGACGATTGAAAAGCAATCAAAGGTCTAAACAGCTTTGCTAGCAAGCTTCTCCATTAGTACGGGGGGGCTTTTTCTCTTATAATTTAACATACGAGTCCGCCTAGCTGCTGCTCAATTACGTAGGGGCAGAGCTGCGACACTTGTAGTCGGTAATGTAGTCCATGGCTTACAATCTAACACTTTGTCAAGAAACGAATTGTGTCGATTGGGGAACCCTAGTCTTGATGATTGGTGATGACGTGACGGGACCATCACACTACGGCTCGAGACTACCTGTATGACTGAAGCCGATGACAGGTAGCATACACGCTATCACCGCTGTGATTATACAAGAGGTATCCCATAGTGCAGACTCAAGTAGAGCTCTGATATTTATATTATTCCTGTTATTCTCAATTTGTGAAAGAGTCTTGCTATGCAGTTCTGGTATGATTATGAGTGCAAAAAGTAGACATGACGAACGCCGGTTCAAAAATGGTCATGGCTCGTGAGATGCAGGCATGGAATCAGTGCTATCAAGAGTTAGTCTCGATTATAATCAAACCCAAAGAATACCACATACCGTAACATCCTCCCACTTCTCCCAACCGCGTCCCTTCACGGCGGCCAACTCCTCCATCGAGTACTGTTTACCGGTGGTGAAGTAGCCAGCATTGATCTTGGCGTCGATCTCGACACGAGAATCGTTGGGAATCATGTCTTCCGGGATAGGCACACGCTCCAAGATCTTAATCCCAGAGTCAACAATGGCGTCATGCTTCATGTTAGACATGGACAGCATCCGGTCAATCTTTTTTATGCCCAGCCAGTGGAGAATGTCGGGCATGAGGGCTTGGAAGCGCATCTAGACATCACGTTAGTAGTGACCGACGAGATATCTGGGCAACACCTACGTCTCGGACACCAGCAATATTTTCCGTGCGAGTGAAGTACTTGTCCGCAGTATCACCACCGCGCTTGCGAGCATTATACACCAGGTACTTTATGACTTCACCAAGAGCTCGACCTTCCTTGCGGAAGTAAATCACCACACCACTGCCGCCGTTCTGCGCCTCCCGGATCGCCTCCGCGATACCAAACGCCAAGTACGGACGACACGTGCAGATATCCGACTGGAAGACATCGCTGCCATTGCACTCATCGTGAATCCGCAGCGCCAAGCGGACATTCTCATCTGAAACTCGCTCCGGAGGTCCAAAGATGTAGACCGTCAACCCACCAATCGGAGGCAGGAAGACCTTCAAATCTGGGCGCGTGATGAGCTCGGGGTAACTTCCGCCCGTGTGCTCGAACAGCGTGCGTCGGAGCGTCCCCTCATCCACGCCGAACCGCTCCGCAACTCCGGGAAGGTACCAGACGGGCTCCACGGCGACCTTGGTGACGCGAACCTCACCGCCGGAGTCCACCACAATCGACCCGTCGACATCGAGCTTGCCCTCACGCACGGCCTCGCCAATCTCCGCCAGTTTCATGTTCGCGCGCGTGACAGCCATGGTGGGCCGGATGTCCCAGCCGGCCTCCAACTCGTCCCGGTACTGGTTGACAACATCATGACCGTAAGGGTCCATGGACACGATCTTGGTCTTGTCGCCCCAGGCGGGCTGCGGGGGGAATTTAAAGGTGGGCTCGCTGTTGCGGAGGTCCGGGCGGAAATTCGGGTCCAGGTCACCTGCCGCGATGGCGAGGGCGTTGTAAATGCTGTAGCTTCCGCCGTGAGCGCCCATAGCATTGCGGCGCTTGAGGAGGTTCGGGCTACGGGAGACGATCACCGGACCGCGGGATTTGGCATCGGGGGCGCCCCATTCGAGAGGGACGGGATCGATCCCGCTTTGGCCGGGGTAGGTAGTTAACTATGGGGAGTGTGGGTCAGTGGGTTACTCTGTAAGAGTCAGTAACAGAGAAACAGCACGTACGACAATGTGTTTGCTGTAACGAGAAGTAGAAGTCGGCGACTGAACGACGGTTGTCGCCGCGTCAGCGGGCTTGGGGGACGTATCGAGCTGCGGGGTACTGGCAGTCATGGTGAAACGGGAGGAGATTAGAGGATATGGAAAGGAGAAAGAAAAGGGAGGGGGGAGTTTAGTGACATAAATAAGAAAATGGAGAGTAAGAGGAAGTGGATAAAGAGGAAGAAAAGATGACGATGGGGAATGGAGGATGGGAGGGAGAGGGGGAGGGGGAGTAGAAAAGGGAAGTTGTAGCTTGTTCCGACCGATCAGGCTGCTGTGATCCAGTGAATGAAATGCTACAGCTGTTGCTGGGCATACCAGGGTGCATGTGACTTGGGCCTCAATGCCTGCTTTGGCTGATTGGGATCCTGGCTTTCTTCCATTCTTGGGTTTCCTCTTTCTCTCTCTTGCTCTCTCTCAATAGTACAACGCAGTAGTCTCTCCCCGCACTTGCTACCTTTTGATCATTATCTTATCCTACCTGGGTTGTTGCTTATCATGGCTGCGGACCTTTCCTTATCTTCTCCACCCCGGTCGATCAGGGCTCGCTGATAAGCACTGATACTACATAGTGTACCTTTATCCCCCCTGTTAATCTCTTTATCGGCCAAGCCTATTGCTATCCTTGAGATGAGATCCAGCAAATCATTTGGGGGGAAGTCGGTGAGAGGCGCGATCCGGGCTGGTCCATGCAGCTGGATCAATCAAATGAATTGCCGCTGCACGATGACGATGAAGAGGGACAGCAGGGCGGATGACCAGCCCCTCATTCCAAGCTTCCCTTCCCTCAAAAACCAGCCAGTTTGTCGCCCCAAACTTTCAGCCAGAACTGGTAGCAATAGTAAATTCGAATGCTTGAGACTATTCCTTCAGCATCACTGTTTGCAGTTACTACTACGATCAAAAAATAATTTCAGAATATCTCCAGTGGCTAATATTTGAGTAACTTTCAGTCCTGTTGGCGGTGACTAATTTCATGTCTAACATAGTTTCCATCTTCTATAGCTGGTATATAAATTGAATTCTGACTCCTTTTTGAGCTTAAAATACGAATCTCGAATTGAAAAGGCTCTAGAAGTGTATATTATGATAATCGCAAGCGATATGACCGATCAGTGCATGTGGGAAGGCCTGCACAGCTATAGCCAACGATACGGCAGACCGTGGACACCAAGAAAGCAGCTCACATGACAGCCAGGAACATCGCTGCTTGCATCGATAACCACATACAGTAAAGTAAGCTTGAAACAGACAACGTTAACAAACTGGGTGCGATGTCTGTAGGTAAGTACAAAGCTTTAAGTACTATACAGAACGCTCTCTAATGGACTCTGCTTCTAATCATATTCTATCAAGTCCTGCAATATGCAGCTATGAAATGCATTTTAATTCGGGCAATGCAGTATTATGGACTGAACCAACTAGATCGAATACCTCGATCCGGTGACAGGATGGTAATCAGCCGGTGGTTGATGATAGAACTCGCAGTCGGACTCGCATTCAGTGTCACAGTCAACCTCGTGACGTCGAAGACTCAATACACCTCGGGCATCGAGATGGTCCGACAAGCTACAGTACCAGTCCAGGAATTCAGGGATTGAATAAAACGCGACTTGCGGCCAAGCAACACTGTGAGGGTAAGATTGTCATCCTCGGAGTCCACCATGATTACCCGTCAGGCCCAGGTCCGTATGCATTTTATCTATTCACATCTCTTCAGTTGGTGATCTTGCTACAAGTCCTCAAGTCCAAACCCATTTCACCTCTTCCTCATCAGATAACCATCACTGTGTGGCAACAGCTCCTCAGGGGGGGAGCAACTTCGGCCACCAGCTTCCTCCCGCCACAAACCTACAAGTCCATTTGACCACTAGATCCAGAGCAGATCTACATATGCAGTAAGACGAGAGAATGCTGAGATAGTTTGATTCTATAAATGTGAATGACTGAGTATTCCTCCCAAACACAACTCCCGCTCACCACCACCACCAGCAAATCACCTCAACAACTTCCCCCCCTCAGAATGTACCAACGTCCCCGTCACGAAGCGATCCTTCATGAAATAGAGATACGCCTCGGCCACATCCTCCGGCCGCCCAATCTCCCGCACCAGCGTCTCATCAGCGTACCGCGTCACCGCAGCCTGCTTAGCCGCCTCATCCCCGAAATTATCAAACAACTCGGTCAACACCGCGCCGGGACTGACCGTGTTCACGCGGATCGGCGCCAGATCCACCGCCAGCCCGCGCGCCATCGCTTCCACCGCGCCTCCATTAGCCGCCGCCAGCGTCCACCCCGGCGCCGGTCGGTGGCCATTCACGCCACTGGTGAAGGTGATCGACGAGCGGGACGTCGCGTGCATGTACGTCTGCGCGTGTTTGGCGACCATCAGCGCCCCGAGCACGCGCACCGTCCCGGCCGCGTGAATGTCGGCCACCGTCAGCGTCGGGTCTGTCACGGGCTTCAGGGCCAGGGCATCGCCGGCCGTGTACACGATATGGTCCAGCAGAGCTTTTCCCGTTGTGGTGGTGGAGGTGGAGGTGGCCTGCTCGAGGAGGTGGCGCACGTTGGTCTCCAGGGTGGCGGGATCGCCGAGGTTGCAGGCGCACCCAGCCATGCGCGCGTGGTATTCTGGATCCGGGTAGAAGGTTTTCAGGCGGTTAAGCGCGTCGTCCACTTTCTTGGTCTGCGAGCTGGCGAGGAAGACGCTCGCCCCGTGCTCGAGCGCCGCGCGCGCCACCGCGAACCCGATCCCGGAGGTTCCTCCGATTACCAGCACCCGCGTGCCTGCGAGCTTGTTTATGGAGATTGTGCTGGGAGTGCTCATGGTTGCTTGGGTGGGATGTTGCTTTTATCGAAGGGGATTGTGAGTCAATAGTCGAAGTCCACCTGGGAGAGGAAATCTGAGGGAAGGGTTGAAGGGATTTGAAAAGCCTTTCGGAATGGATCGGTACTGGAACAATTGCTGGTCGAGTGGATCATGCCACCTTCTTATGCCATGCCATCAGAGCCATGGAGACACATCGACGCCGCGTGTTAACTCCGGGGCGGAGATCACAAAACCATGCTTATATACCTCATATCTGTATCTACCAGAAGGGTCCATCTCGTACGGCTAATTCTCTTAAATTTAGCTTCGGTCCGGAGTGCCCAGGCTGGTGACTGGCACCTACACTTGAATAATGTCCAGTTAGTCGGTTGATATCTTTAACATGCTCGTTGTTGGAGAAGGTGTACCTGAAAAGAAGATATAGCATTAGTAAAAGTGAATCTTCTAGCTATGGTAGGCTCTTATCGCCGTAATCTCCGGGTGACGTTAACTCCGTCAAGGGCATGAGTGTCCTTTCACTGAACGCGCTCTTTGGGCGCAGTGGGTCAAAAATACTGGTGTAGTCCTAGAAGCCCTGAATAATAAGCTTAGTAATTCATAATCAAGTTTAAGGCTATGGTAGTTCAACTAAGCTCTGTCGTCAAATATGTAGAGTACTACCACTTATTATAGGGCTGGTGCTTCTCTTCTCCCTTCGCCAGTGTGCTAAGAGCCAGCAAGGTCAAATTTTGATTTAGGTTGTGCGTGGAATCAACCTAATTGGAAAGAGATTAGCATACAGTACTTGAAGGTTCCAGTGGAGGTCAGAGTATCCCACCGCTCGACCAACAGGTTTGTCGGACATCCATCCAGCCGATGCTTTTACTCCATAGGATTCCAGATCCTGTCAATACTACTACCTCGCCCCACTTTCGCATCCCCCCATTCCAGACCCGCCCTTGGTTCAGGCTCATTGATGGGTAATCGCTCGTGCGAATGTATACAATCACTATCGACCCCCTCGGAGCTTATAGCCCAGGGGGCCTGTGATAACTTGGGTGTGACCGACTTAGTCATCAGGGTAGCGGATAGAAGTTCCTGTCGCGCTACAAGCTAATCTGTCTTGGCCTCACTCAATCTTGTAATTGGTTGCCTAATAAAACATGAAATAAGATCACATTATATAAATAAGGCTAGGCTACCTTGATTACCATCTACTTTTCTGTGCCTTTATTCTGAAACCTAGGTTCACGTCACCCTTTATGGACCTAAGGTTTAAACCACTATTATCTCCAATTCAATGCGTCGTCATCAATTCTTTCGATCTTTTTCATCCCCCCTACATTACCCGTACTTGATTGCAAGAGCTTCTAGGCCTCCCATCTCTGGATTCCAATGTACAAAGGCCGATAAAGCTTTTGGGATTTTGACCCTTATACCTATACTAGTGGGCGGTGGCTTCGTGATGATGAGCTCGAATATTTTTCATATTACATTGCATTTGATTTTGGCGCTCTGCGCAACCGGGTCCTTCAGCTTTGCCCTGCTGCGAGCTCAATTGACAATTGCAAAAAGCTTGAGGGGGGGGAGAGGGGGGGGGGGGATTCAAATAGAGTATTTGTTTTCACCATGAACAACTCAAGACAAATAGTAGCTAGGTTGCCATTCGCTCTTACCGGACTGGTGCGGTTAACCACTAGTTCTGAAGTCGCTACTATTAGATACCGTGTGTTCCTATCAATTATAGCAAGACTAACATAGTATACTAACTACATTACCTCTACAGTACAATTGAAGACAAACGTTCCAATTCCAACCATAATTGACTGGAGTGACGACGTCAAATCCCCGGACAATCCCATTGGCAGCGAGTATATTATTATGGAACATGCCTCTGGTGTTCCACTGCACCAAATATGGGATAGGATGGCCGGTGATCAGCGTGTCAGATGCATAAGCGCAATATTTCAGAAGATGAAAGGTGCTACTGATCTCAGGTTTCCCTCTTATGGAAGTATATACTTCAAGGATGGACCTGTGCAACCAAGCGCCAGACAGCCTCTGAATGAGGATTTCTGTATTGGGCCACATTGTGGCAGCCGCTACTGGCCTCTCAACGCTAGGCAGCGCCTGAATTATGGCCCTTGTAAGTGTTCTTATAGCCTTTCTGTGATATGACTGAATCGAGGTGTTCATACTAACGTTGAGGAGGGGCCAACCTTGATACTTACGGGCACGATGTTCTGATTAGGAAATTGTTGATACGTCAACTAGTTGATATGTTAACTATAGCAGATAACGGGTCGACGGGCCGGGTATGCTTGCTCGCCTTATCTTAAGCACAGGCCCCAGCCTTACAGGCTCCAGCAGTAAACAGCCAGGATCCTCCAACGCGGTATTGTTTGTTCCGATCTGCTGAGGGGCAGCTAAGGCTGCATATCAGATCATAGAGAGACTGGGCTCACAGATGACCAAGTTCCTTTCGCATCACGCATGTGGTTGGCACTACGCAGCAAGCGACCCTGGAACTGTCTACCAGTGGAAGTCACCGTGGACGGCACTACCCAAGCCCCTAACCGGCAAGATCTGTCTTGTCCCTTTCGTTTAATACGATGAGATTGCCAGTCTCGCCCGCAAGTTGAAGTTGGTTCGTCCATGAATTGAGGGAGGGAAGTCTGTCCCTTGATTCACCCTTCTTACCTTATATACCTGCTCACACTTGGCCTCCTAGGTGAAGGTTGATCTATGGAAGAGGGCCAATCTTCCCCAAGAATGCTCCATGCATCTCCTTCTGGTTGGTCTTTCTATCCCTCTGCCTCCTATCTTTTATCTCTGTACCTGATGGCGATGGCGCTATTGTTAGCACCGCCTTATCTAGAGGAACCGCCGCTCGTAGGGGAGAGCGGAGAGGCCGACTATGGCACCCTTAGAATCGCGCGAGCATCGGTGAGATAGCCAGATCATACAATACTTTGGTCAGCATCCGTCGAATACGGTGATCCCTTCCTGTCGGATCCTGACCACAGATCCTAACGGATCATTCATTACAGGGAACAGGCTTTCTCAATTAGGCTTGCAGAAAGCATCTCTGTCAACGTCGCGCTTGCCGGGGTTCGTGCTTGACGGCCGGTACTACTACGGACGGAGGGTGAACTGGACAACAGACCACCTACGTAAAGAGGTTCAAGCCCTGGAAATCTATACGGGGTTGTTTGTTTTCAGCAACTCAAATATGAACTGGTATCTATTAATATGTGTGGTGTGCAATTTTTCAGCCATCATGGAAAGATTCATAAAACTCATCCGCATCCCATACTGCAGTACAGCCCCGGCGTTAAACCAACAATTTGCTCCAACCGACTAGCAATCCGCGGCCATCGAACGGTGATTATCAAACAGCAAAGGGGAGGCAGGACAATCACCGGAAGGCGGCCTGGGCACGGGTGTTCTTGAGCGTCTTCTTGATGATATCCTCCACCTCATCCCAATCCTTGGTGTCGATCCGCTGGATGCTGGTGTTGAAGTACTTCTGGATCTGGTTGAGCATCTCCCACTCGTCGCGGTTGGAGATGAACGAGATCGAGACACCCACACGACCGAACCGACCGGTACGACCAATACGGTGAAGGTAGGTCTGGAAGTCCGCTTGGCGCGGGGCACGAGGGTTCGTCTGGTGAATTTCAGGGATGTCCTGGTCACGGGAGTTAGCTTGCCTGGATTTAATACCACATCTCAAACTGCTTACGTAGTTGATGACCATGGAAACGGTCGAAACATCGATACCTCTGGCGAGGACGTTGGTGGTGATCAGAACCTTGGCTTGTCCCGCACGGAACTGGTCAATCACGGCATCACGCTGCGAGCCCTCGATACCACCGGTCAGGGAGGCAACGGTGTGACCTTCGGCCACCATGCGCCTTTCGATTTCGACGGCAGAGGCACGGGTCTAGCCAAACATTAGCAGGAGCCCTGTGGCAAAAGTCCAAATCAACCAACCTTGACGAAAATAATGGAAGAGCCAACGGTAAGAAGGCCGTAGAGCTGAACAAGAGTCTGGTACTTCTCTTCCTCGTTGGCGCAGTCGAGATACAATTGCTTGATACCCTCGACGGTCAATTCCTCGTGCTGAAGGGTAATCTCGTTCGCATTCGGGGCGAACTTGGAAGCATATTCGTGGACATGCGTGGGGAAAGTAGCCGAGAAGAGCACAACCTGAATGTCCCGGGGCAACAAACTGCGAAGCTGTTAGTCATCGACAATATCCGGAAGGGGGATGGCGAGACTGACGCCTTGACACGGATGCACTGATCGCCAAGACCTTGCTGGTCAAGCATGTTATCTGCCTCGTCGAGAACCAACACCTTGAGCTTGTTGGCTGTGATGGTACGCCTCTTGATCATATCCGTGACCGTTCCCGGCGTACCAACAACAACGGAGCACTCCAGTTTGGTCGGGCGCGCATTGCTATCCGCAGGAACAGCAGTTCCGATGAGGAGGTTCGGGAGGAATTGACCCATGACCTGAATGACACCCACGATCTGACGCGCCAACTCGCGCGTAGGGGCCAAAATCAGGGCTTGCGGGGTCTTCTGCAGTTGCTCCGTGCTAAGGTCGATGCGGCTGAGGACATTGAGCGTGAATGCGGCGGTCTTTCCAGTACCCGACTGGGACTGGCCGACCAGGTTCTTTGCTGGGTTGCCGAGCAGAAGAGGAAGAGCTCTTTCCTGGATCTTAGACGGTTTGCGGAAGTTCATAGCCGATAATCCTTGCAAGATACGGGGATCGCTGTTGAGCGAACGGTGTTAGCCTCCAGAGATCATTCAGTGATGGGATGGGCATGTGACCTACAGGCCAAGGTCCTCGAAGTTCTTGACTGAGAACAGAGGGTTGTTCGGGTCGGCCTGAAGATCGCTGAGCTTGACCTCCACGGTGTAGTCGGGTTCCTGAAGGTCGGAGCCACCCAAAGCGGCGGGCGCTCCATCCGTTTGATCAATCTCTTTGGAGGTTTCGGTGGACTCTGCGTAAGAGGGCTGAATTAGCGTGGTTCTGGATGCGATCGACCGCGATGGAGGGTGACACAGTCGCCGGGTCGAAGGAAGGTATGCCGCGTGCTGTCCATACCTGCAGGCTGAGGTTCTTCGGGCTTGGAGATGCGGTCGGCGAGAGAGCCGCCAGCAGGCTGTTCGTCGGAGGCCATGATAACTCGTGAATCGACAAAGGCAATTTGAGGAAAGTGTGTGTGTGTGTGTTGTGAGGGAAAAGAAGAGCTGCTTGATTCCAGACGGAAGAGGGAGGGGAGCAGCGGGGTAATAATTCTATTTAAACCGGACGCGCGACGAAGGGCTCCAAACAATGACTCAAGCGAACAAGTCAGAGGTAGATTTCCTTTGAAGGATGGAGAAGAAAGAGAAGGAGAGAGAAAGATTTACTCGGGACCAACTCGGGACTCAGAGCAATCACAGATCACAGTAGCAATAAGCAGCAATGGTTCACAGTGGGTGTTGCTATGCTCATTTGCTCATCAGTAGACAATGACGGCGGAAAAACCAGTCCGGACCGCCTTTGAGCTGCGCTAATCCGGAGTAGGAAGGAGGACCGGCCAGCGTCGAGGTACTCGATATGGTAGGCGGTGACTGTGAATCGACGGTACGGTACCTTACTCTAGTGGCATCCGGCTAAATGACGTAGTGCTCCAACGTGGCCTGACAGCCTCGTTCGGTATTGTCATTCCGTTGCTTTACCTTTACTGCATCCAGCCTAAGCTGTGTTCTTCCCCGCTTCCTTCCTTCGCAGTGATTGCCTGCCAGGGCTGCGTCTCTCCTCTCCAAACTACTACTTATCCTTAATTCTTACAGATTGCTGTCCACTTCGGCTTCTTCCGCTGCTGCTCCGATTCCTTGCCATTGACACCGGTCGCGCAACAGGCTTTCCTTCTGCGGGTGGTTGGTGGTTTCAACGTGCGACTGCTCCGGTCATCTTAGGCCGACACATTCCGGTTTCCCCTGGTTTCGCATCCCCGTCGTCAGTCTTCTGCGCCGTGATCTTCGGGCAGCGGATTAGCCGTCAGCATGGCAACCCCAGATGTCGCCCCTCATTTTGGGGCAGAACTGAAGGTATAGTGATGTCTGCTGTCAGTAAAAATAACCAAGTATTCTCACTAACAGCAGAATTGAATAGGATGCCTTCAAGCCTGTCAACAATTGGGTATGTCCTCCCCGCATGTTCGTCCGCGCGCATTTCTCCAACCACGACGACGGCCGATCCAAAGTTCCGTGCTAAGCTATCGCTCCCCAGGTTTCCCATGGCATCGGGTGGTTGGATGAAGTACAACAGTTCTACCGAGAGCGCAGTGTTATTGAGAAGGAATATGCGGCCAAAATGACGGCGCTGTGCAGAAAGTACAACGACCGCAAGGCGAAGAAGATTAGCACGTTGAGTGTAGGAGATACTCCGAGTATGACCCCGGGCTCGCTCGAAAGCGCCTCGCTCACGACATGGACGACGCAATTGACCGCGATCGAGGCGCACGCCGCCGAACGCGACCAGTTCGGCACGGACCTGGTGGTACAAATAGCGGAGCCGCTCAAACAAGCCGCTGCACAGTACGAGGAACTCCGGAAGTGCCACGTCGACTTCCATGCCAAATTGGAGAAGGAGAGGGACTCTTCTTACAGTGAGCTCAAGAAGGTCAAGGGGAAATATGACGGCGCATGTCAGGAGGTGGAGGCGCGACGGAAGAAAATGGAGAGTTCGTTTGACCACAGCAAGTCCAAGGCCCAAGCGGCCTATCAGCAGCAGATTCTGGAAATGAACAACGTCAAGGTAGGTAGCCAATCACGTCTCTTGTCGCCTACTAACAGAAGCAGAATACCTACCTCATCAGCATAAACGTGACGAACAAGCTCAAGGAGCGCTTTTACCACGAATACGTTCCCGAACTACTCGATGTAGGTTTCTTTCGCCCTGCCTTGGCTATGACACTGACGTTTGCAGGGGCTGCAAGACCTCAACGAAACCCGTGTAGCGAAGCTGAATTCAATCTGGGCGCAGGCAGCTCAGTTGGACAAGAATTACCTGACAAAAAGTGTGGAGCACATGGCCAATCTCCTGCACGAGATCCCGCGCAACCTCCCTCATCTCGACTCGCTCATGTTCTTGCGCCACAACACCACGCCCCTCCAAGAGCCCGCCAATGTAGGCTTCGAGCCCAGCCCCGTCTGGCACGATGACGAAGCCCTCATAACCGATGAGACCGCCAAGGTCTTCCTGCGCAATCTTCTCAGCAAGAGCAAGACACAGGTGCGCGATTTGCGAGTGGAGACCGATCAGAAGCGACGAGAGGTAGAGGCGGCCAAGAAGGTTCGTGAAGCCATCCAGCAGGGCAGGGACAAACGGAGCGAGGTGGAAGTAGTCCGGTCCATCTTCTTCCTGCAAGAGACGTTGCATGAGCTCGACCGCAAACGCCTGACGGCCGAAGTCGAGACGTCAACAATCATGTCCGTGGTAGGCGACCTGTCGCTGGGGGCGCGCAATCACAACTTCAAGTCGCAGACATTCAAGATCCCCACCAACTGCGACCTTTGCGGTGAGCGCATCTGGGGTCTATCAGCCAAGGGCTTCGACTGCCGCGACTGTGGTTATACGTGCCACAGCAAGTGCGAGATGAAGGTGCCGGCAGAATGTCCGGGCGAGCAGACCAAGGAGGAGAAGAAGAAGCTCAAAGCAGAGCGACAGGAGCTGGCCAACTCGACCCCGACTCTAGATCTGGAGCCGTCGTCATCCAGCGGCCCAACGGGGGCGCCCTCGCTCACGCGCAAAGACACCATGAACTCGCTCAGCTCCGGCTACGCCGTCAGTGCCAACCGCTCCTTATCCACCGCCACCAGTCTCTCCCCGTCCACTGCCGAGTTGCCTGCCTCGACCCCAACACCACCAGCCACGGAAACCAAACCTGCTGCCGCAGCTGCCTCCAAGCGGAATCGCATTCTTGCCCCGCCGCCGGCGCAATACATCAACAGTCCTCCATCCACCCCAACCCTCAGTTCCAAACCGGCTTCTTCCGAACCCCGCGGGAAGATGCTGTATCCGTATCAAGCACAGGGAGGTGACGAAGTCACCGTCCAAGAAGGGGACGATATCGTCATTCTAGAGCCCGATGGTAAGCCACTCTCGTCGGCTTCACTTTGTCGCATCCTTCACGTCCCAGCAAGCCTTATCATCAACCCTTGCACCCGTCCCTTCTCACCTCCTTGATTTTGTATTATTCAAGCTGATCACCATATGAACAGACGGATCTGGCTGGCTTCGGGTCCGAACCCCGGCAACCGGAAACGAGGGCCTCGTCCCAGCCTCCTACGTCGAAGTCCTTCCCATGGAACGCCCAGCATCAACCTACTCAACCAACTCCTCGGCCTCGGCCTCGACCTCTACCTTGCCCGTCGGGGCCGGAGCAGGGGCCAGCAAACGCATCGGCCCCGCCGTGGCCCCGCGGCGCGGCGCCAAGAAACTGGCCTACGTGGAAGCGTTGTACGACTACGAGGCGCGCAGCGACATGGAATGGAGTATGAGCGAGGGGGACCGGTTCGTGCTGGTGAACCGGGATAGCGGGGACGGGTGGGCGGATGTGGAGCGGGGGGGCGTGACGAAGAGCGTGCCGGCAAACTATATTCAGGATGTTTAGACTTGGCGAAGACGGATGTTGGGATTCCCGGTTTTTGGGAGGTCGCATGTGGCTTTTGGGCACCAGATAAAGCTCATGGATAGGTAGCAGTCGATTGGATTAGTTGGAAGAGGTGCAGTACAGTACATATACCACAATACATACGTTGCTCCTTGCTGTTATACTGTACATAATCTAGCATAGTTATGATTAGACTTGTGTTCTAGAAACTTGTCTATGGATACCTGGTGATGGCAGAGGTGCTTGGCTTAGTGAACACGGCCCCCGAGGTGAAGAGTATATTCTCCTGGATGCTATAGTCAACTGCGTACCACGCTTACTCAATCATTACCCCACCCCTTTCTCTCCAACTCCTTTACCACTTCTCAGAAATGATCTTCCGGTCTTTACTCTAGTGATTACTTCAATAATCCCTCCTCTCCTCTCCTGTTGTGCTATACTAGTACCCAAATTCGTGGTATCATAGCCCCCGATTCAGACCGCTAAGTTACACTCCTCAGCCTCGTCCTCCCCAGTGGTAGCAGTGCCCTCCGGATCTCCATCATTTCCACCACTCGCCGCGCAAATCCCTCCAATCCCTCAAAGCATGTCTCGGTTAGTAGATTAGGTCGATATATGTGGCAAGTCTCCCATCGCTTTACCCCTTTCCTCATCTAGTATCACGCTTTGTATCTTCTCCTCTCTCTCTTTTCTCTATTCGACACACACACCCCCACACCCCCACACCCCCACACCACACACATAGTCGATATGTTCTCACTTCTTAGTAAGCAACCCCTCGAGTCGAGTCAACACACATCCCTCCCTCGTCCAAATGAAGAGATACTGTCTTCTGGCTAGATTCTCAACCCCCAGTGCATACCGAATACAGTATCTAGTAATTCGACTTGGTCACATCGAGAGGAGCTTAGAGGAGCTACGTGGGTTGGGCAAAGGTCTTATCCGGGGTACGGTACAGTACCTGTTTCTACCGCGAGGGCTATCTCCTTTGTACCGTAGTAAGGAGTATAGCGATTGAGTGATCAGCGTTAGGTGGTATACCTGGGTCTGATTGTCTCGTCTTTCTTGTTGCTGGGACACTCTCCGACGTCCGAATTTCAGAATCTGCTGAATGTATCCCGAATTGCTATATATACCCTGCCGTACATCCAGCGCAGAACCTATATACAAATCCTACGATCCGAAGGTGAGAACAACCCCTCCAAAAGAGAGCGCAGCAGAACCCCCTCCCACACGGCTGGCTATATCGACAGGTTGCTCACGGTGAACGGTTCTGTGCTCCCGACAAAAAGACCCTCATCCCCAAATAGCGGTCGCTATCTCACGCTCAAACAACAACAACAACAACAACAACAACAACACCATCATCATTCTCGTATACATCATGACTCATAACATTTGCACAATCGCTTCCTTTCTCGGATTCTGTTTTTTGATGTGGATATAGACGAGCCGGGAGTGTCCAGCCCGCCTGCAAATGTTATACCGCCTCCCGCAGCGCCGCCTCATCCGCCAACCACGACCAATCCCCCTGGAAGACCTCCACCGGCAGAGAGCTGACGTCCAGGTCCTCGAGGGCGTAGATGGCGGTGGATGCGCTGTCGGCAAACGAAACCCCAACCCCGCCCTCGAAGTCGAGCGGGTTGACCATGCTCAGCGCGCCGGGCATGCCGTCGCCGATCGTGCAGTACGTCGGGGACGGCGGGTAGGCCGCCGAGGCAGGGCCGGGCAGGTACAGGGGACTGTCGCCGGGGGTGTCGGGGATGAGGCCGTGACCGTGGCCCTGTGTCTGCAGCTGCTGTTGATACAGCTGAGATTGGGGGGGTGGTGGGGGGCTGGCGGAGATGGTGGATCGAGGGCGATGATCCCCTGTGGGCGGGGAGTGGGATTCACGCCTGATCCCTGCTGCTGCTGCTGCAGCTGCAGCTGCTGCACCACTGCTGCACCCATCGCAACCGCCCGTGGACGAGGGCGCAGGACGTGGCGCAATCGGCTTCAATGAGCCCACCGAGGTGGAACGAGGAGATCTGCCAGCGGCTCTCTGGAGGGAAGAGCAAGACGCGAAACGACAAGCCACATCAGCCTTGGACTGGTCTCGGGACATAATGAAGAGGGATGTGTATGGATATGCGACAAGTGATGAGAGAGTGGGGGTTTGGGGATTTTCTTTGTTGCACTTTTGGGGGGGGGGAGGGGCTTGCAATGCTGGGTGGTGCTGGGGGTGGCTCTACTTTTGATGCTTGACATTTGGCGTCAACCTCACGTTTGAGCTTGGCGTGCTCCTCGGGCGCCTCGCACGGGGTGCAGTTGCAGACCGAGCAGGTTGCAAAGGGCCGGCCTTTTCGGTTGATGTGGATCAATGGTCGATCTATACACACAGTAACATTAGCCAGGTGGCACAACAGCAGGACCGTGGGATATGTGATGAACGTAAGATCGTATATACTTACCATGGTGCTTGCAGGTCGTCACTCGGTGACCGCGAACGCAAGCTTCACAGGCCCACTTTTCACCGTCGATGAGCATCCCTTGGAGGAAGATTGGAGTGGAATAGAGGCGGCCATGATTTCCCAGGCGGATCGGGGCAGAGGATTTATAGGGTAACAGAGCAAACAACCAAAAAGTTATGGGCGGGACAAAAAACCAGCGGTCGAGCGAGAAAATGAAAAAAAGGACGCCGATGGGGGAAATGAACCTGCTACAGATTACTTCAGAAAAAGGCAAAGCCGCATGGGGATGGGGAACGGGCACAGCCACGGATCGACTACATGGATGGCAAGGACTGTATACTGTGTGTGTGTGTGTGTGTACGGTGCAAAAAGGAAGCTCGGTAGAGAAAGTACAGTACAGTACTCCGTACTCTGTAGTAAGAGAGGGGGTAGGGTCCTGAGCTTCGTGTGCAAGGGAAATGATTGCATGCGCGGTTTTTGGCTCACATTTTGCCGCAATATGGGGGGATTGGGGGGGGGGGGAGGGTCCGTTCCTGGATGGACCCAAAAGTCCCAAGTACTGCTGCTGTACAGTAAGTACAGTACTTACTCAGAGAGAGAAAGAGGTAATCCGAAGGGAGTGAGTGTGCCAGGTGCGTCAGGGCCAACTCCTCCTCCTTAGCTGATTTCTCCTCCCTCGACCTCCTCTCTCTCCCGCTGGCCGCGGAATCCATGATGATATAATTGCCCTAACAAAAAACAAAGCGATTAGCATGCGGGATTTTCCCTAGCGAAATATCGACCTCGACGATTGTTGGTAACGAGATGCCGGATCTGTCTTAGTTGCGGGCAAAACCGAATGGTGCAGCAAATTCCCGCATACAATAACACATCCATCGAAACAATAGCTGGAAGAATCCTCGCGGGACTAGCTATAGTTACAATCCATATTCTTGCTGCCTTGGATCGAAGGCAATAAGCAGACGAGACAAGAGGATACGGGTTTCGCAGCGACAGGGGGGGTGACTCCTGAATTGTCGAAGAGACGATTACTCTCGGTACGAGCTGATTGATGATCGGAGGGAATAATAGGTTTGGACTTGGAGATCGAAATTCGAGACCGTGCTTGCGCGCAGCGTACCTACTGTACGTGAACGCGTTAACGTTACCAGCTTGCAGACCGATAAGCCAAACCCTTAGGACCGAGCATGCTGCACCAGGAGCACCAGGAGCACCAGGGTGGAGGAAGAAAAGCTCGAGCCATGGCGGGATGGAGGTGGCTGAGCAGCTTTCTTCCATTAACTTAACCAAGTTGAAGGAAAGCTTGGAGCACGAGCCAATCTAGGCCTGCGGGATTTAAAAATTTTGACATTTGGAAGTTGGTTGCTTATTTTTCAAGTGCAGTCAGTGACTGCAGTCAGTCCTCCCCGGTCGGAGCTTTTTCATCATCGGTTCCCTCATCGAACTAAGGAGCTCTTTTGCTTTTTCTTGTTTTTTTTCTTTTTTCTTTTTTTTTTTTTT